GTAACTGGAACAAAGAGAAAAAATACATCAAGCCACTGAGATCAAAAAAGACGTCTGTCATCATCAGAAGAAAGGAAGGCAGTAGTGCAGGGCACCAATGAAGGTAATGGGACGTGGTTCAGGAGGACAAAAGCAGACACCAGCTGTGGGAGAAAGAAAGATGGACTGTGAAATAGGAGACTGGTATTAGACTGCCAGAGCACAGGAGATATAAGAAAACAGTGGGCTAGTAGAAGGACGGAAGAATATAGCAAGGGATCTGCAGCAGAAACTGAGAGGTACTGGTGCAGGGGTTTGAATTGGTTAGCCCGGATAAATTAGAACTTGGAACAGAGGTCTTAAAAATGGTTGAGGAGACTAGGACTTCAGGAAAAGGCATGGGATGGAGTAGAGCTAAAATTGCGGCAGAAACAGAGAGGAGGTAACAGAGCAAGAAGTGTGCAAAACTCACTACAGCAGCTAAAAAGGAACCAAAATTCCAGAGTCCCATCATCTTCCATCTGTGCAAAACCAACTGGTAAAGCATCTCATTCCCCTCCAGCATGATACCATACACAGAAAAATAGCCATCACTTGATCTGTTATTAAATGAAGAGGCTTGAGATGCTGGAACTAGTTGTCCCAGTCTTTCTATCTATGTATGTAACTATAAGATACATTTTGATGTCACAGGATGGGACTTTTCTTTTTCGAGGAAAAAGCAAATTCAAAAAGTGTATGCACAAAAAAAGTCAGAAGAATTATGGGATTGGAAGGTCAAGCACTTTCCTGTTACATATGTTACTTCAATTCGTCTTGTTTATGCCTGTACATTAAGATAAAGTGTTTAAGAATTCAGGAAGAAACCTACTATTTGTAGGTTTTCTTGACCTTTACATAACAAAGTATTGCACTGGGAAAACAGAACATATTCATAAAAGTTGCTGGACCACTGTGAACTAGTTCAGAAAATAAATAAGGCTTTTCCTTTGGAGGCACATGCAGGAAATACAGTCCTGTCCCCAAGATACTGAGGGCAGGATTGACCTGTGACTAGTACACATGACTTTTTTCTTTCTTTAATATCATGGTTTCATGACTCTGGACTTGGACAGGAAAATGCACAGTCCCTACGGCTTTCCTGCTTTGAGTGGTTCTTGCGGTTCATAAGGCAAAACTCCTGAGTCAGGCAGAGAAGATCTGAAGGGCAGTGTTCTGGCACGGAATATGAAACTCATTGTAATTGGAGTCATAGCTGGGATTCACATCAGGGACAATAATCCTTTCATGCTTTATGCCAGAAGATCAGCTCCAAGGAAATCTGAAAACTTCAAAGGTGTCAGTGCAAAGTTGTTGAACTTCACAGGCACTGTTAGATAAAGCTCACTATTCTAGAAAGTACTGCAGATAACTCAGTCTTGCCATCCATTTGCACTTTCTTGTTATTTAGACAGCTCTATCTTTAACATTCATGCTGTATGGACACACATAAACGTGATTTTTAGGAAGTCCTAAAATTCCTTATATGAGAAGTACAAGGATCTTTACTAAAACATTTGCATATTTACCAATTACATACATCGTAATGTATGTACATGCAGTGTAATACACTGCAACACAGGTGCTTTTTTTTTTTCTCCCAGACAGCTTGTAACTATTATAAACTGGAGGAGTCTGAGAAGAACATGAGATCATTGTTCTTTTCAGAAGTGCTTTGGGATTTTTAATGGCTACAAAGTACATAGGACTTCTTCTTAACATTTATGCTGAGCATTTCTTGCAGCATTATGGATAAAATGGGAATAGACAAAATAGCTCTCCTGAGAGACATAAACTCCAGATTTAACACAGTTTGAAAATTAGGTGCACTAGGGTAATGTTCCAAAAGAGCTTCAAAGCCAGTCACCCTTGCAGGTGTTGAATACCTGCGGCCCCTTTTCTCCTTGTGCTTAATTTCCTGTTTCTTACTGAATGTGCGCTCTGTGCCCTTTCATTTCAACATCTCTAACAAATATCATCCCACAAAACAAACATTTTAAAATTCCTGACTTGTCCAAAAACTTGATTCCAGTAACAGGAGAAAAGAGAAAAATAATATAAACCTCACCATTTTCAATGGCTTCCAGCAAAATATTTTTCTAACAGCTGAATCCAGTCTTCATTCTTACCTGTTATCTCCCCCTTCCTGATATGTCTAGCACAACAGAGCTAAAGTTTTTGTGTGATAACATGGATTTAGTTGCTGTGACTAGTGCTGCTTCCTTTCATGTGAGCTGTTCTAGCCTGCTTTGTTCTCCAGAGTTTTGCCTTCTGTTGCGTACTGTGCAGACTGGTCTTTTATCCCAGTCTCTATTGTTTGGCAGATTGTTGATTTTATTGTTGTTGTAATGGACATCTTAATGGCTAAACTGCTCTAGGAAAACATTTCAGAGAAAATGAATGATTTTGTAGAGAAACTGTGCCACCCAGCAAATTGTATGGGCCGTTGCCTCAAAGAACATTACTTGCTTTTCCATGTTTGTTTAGAGGGCATATTTACTCAGAAGATGGTCGGACTCCTTCTTTAAAATGTGATGAAATTGATAGAGCCATTCTTTACATCTATGAGACGATCTACATTTTACACAGCTGAAAGAGCATAACTGGTTAGGATACATTAAGAAGTTGTAATCACATGCAACTCTTAAACTAATTTATGCTTTTCTAACTTCTGGTCATGTACTTTTTTTTCAGTTAGAGGATATAAAACTTATGGAATATTGAACACTAATACATCAGTAACTAACCATTGCATATAATTTCTTTTTCTGCTTGGACTAGTCAGCAGCATTTGGATACAGGTAGGTTCTTCCAGAACACAAGAGCATCGTCAGATCTCCGATAAATTAGTAACAATCTTATCATTAAATTCAAAGAGCTGGAGATCAAGCTGAATACAGAGAATCAGATACATCCTCAGGTAAACAAGAGCCAAGGAAGAGATTTCAGGACTGAAATATGGAAATTGAGAGAAATAAGTGATCTTACAAAGCCACAAGAAAGCTGCATGGAAGGTTTCCAGCTTAATCTTCTCAGCATGTCAACTGGCGTAGTGGAACACATCCCTCTCCTTAAAGCAAAGTATCTCCCTCCAAAGTCCACCAAATTCAATGTGTCGTTTACTTCTGGGTAGGAATGGGTCCCTCTGAGAAATTGGTAATATTGGGACATAGTTTGTGTTTTTCCAGGGCCATGCACCAGCTGAACCGGTTCATAAGAAGTGACCCTGGGAGCACTTCCATAGTTTATTGGTGTAAGGGGTCAGCAAGTAGAGCAGTGAGACTAAAATGGAAGGGTATTTTATAATATTCCTGATCTTTTAACTGTAGATGGGCATTTGGACACCCAAGTAATGATTTCAGAGTTAAAAAAGGCAGACAAGGACACTTTGAAGCAGCTTAGGGTTCAGTATTACAGTGAGCACAGCGTATGGAGAAACCATCGTGAGATGATGATTTTTCTTGAGCAGTTGCAAATGTAGGATCAGTAACTAAAGCACTTGAGTCTCCTAGGAGGGTTTGTGAAATAAAAAACTCTCACTGAGGAGTGGTTATACATTCAAATGATTCTGCTGTCATATGAAAAACTGCTCAACAATATGATTAAAGGCTTGCTAGCTGGTTGCAAGAGTATAATTTTCAACAGGATATTGACTTCAGTGGGGCTATTTTCATAGGCTACCACCAGGGAGAAAGGTTCCCACTTCAGTCTTTGTTAGTGAAGGTTTTGATCCTTTGTCAGGGAAGGAACATGTCACAAATTCATTAAAAAATACATTTCTGTATTATAAAAGAATGAAAAATGTATTTTTTAAAAAAATAGTAGTGCAACAAACAACATTAGTAATAGTTTTAAGCAATAATTAACAGCGAATTGACAAAGTGGGAGCTAAACAGTCACTGTTACTTGTTAAATATTTGCATATGATTACAATGTATCATCTAGCATGTTTATTGTACATTTTGAGAATATAAGTACTGAGTCAAAATATACTTAGTTAGTAAACATGGGTTAAAAGGTGCAAATTAAATTTGTAGTAAAAGATATATGAATGTGTATGCACTTGGTAGACACTAGTAGCATTTTCCTATTTCATCATAGTCCCATTTGATAAACATTAATATTTAAAGACTGATGACTTCCATTATGTCTGCAATATTTCTCATAAATGTCTGGGAATAAAAATATTTCCTGAAGTCAGGTAGGTCCAGCATGAATTGGTACTAGAAGTATGTGTAATGACTGCCTACATCTTAGACCGTGTCTGCACAGGAGCTTCCTTATTGGTACCTGAGTCTGGTTCACTTCATAGTTTCTAATGTGGCTGGAAATATATCAGCAAAATCAATATATTACATTTGTTTAACAGCTCCCCTCTCCCTTTTATTACAGGAAAATAAGCTATACCAGTAAATGAGAGGTTTTGCTGGCAGGGCTTTACTTGCGCTGAAGCCTGCTGAACACAGCCATGTTGGTCGGCAATCCCGTCCCCACGGCCTTAGCCAAGACGGACGTATCAATTATTTATCAAAGCATTTGTTCTTTGCCAGATGTGGAGAGGAAGTGGTTCTTGTTGAAAGGGGCAGTGCTCGCTGTATAACACAGGTGTAACACAGACGTAACGTGTACAACCTCCTTTTTCACTACCGTACTTCATGAGCCGCTTTTGCGGAAGCCCCAGACGCCAGGCAAAACAGTGGTTTTACTTCCTTAGTCTGAGCACACCACCTCTGAAGTCATGTCAGTGCATGGTAACTTATATGATCTGTACAAGAGGCACCTGTCAGCACTTAATGTATTTTTCCAGATAACCCACCCAAACTAGCATGTCTTTTCAATATTTTTCAGAGCATCAGTTATCTGTTACGGTGACAGAGTTGGAACATTTTATATCTTCTTACTAAGCTCTTTGGCACTGAGTCTCACCGTCAGCAGCACTTTGGGCTGTCTGAGAGTTACTGAAGGAGGAAAAGCTTTCTTACCTAACCGAGCTGCTGCCGGCATCGAGGTCTTGTGCTGTCACTGCACCTATAATGGTCCCCACAGGCGTGTCCTCATAAACCTCCATGGTGTACACAGGCTTGCTGAAAACTGGAGGTTCGTCCATGTCCAACACATTTATCTTCACAGTGGCAGTATCTTTGAATGGACCCACCGAGTGAAATCGATGGTCAAGATGGAGATTGGAGGCCTCGACTTTAAAGGTGTATGCCTTTTTCGTTTCAAAGTCTAATGGCTGTAGAAAGAACAAAAGCAAAACATCAGATTTGACTAAAAATCAAACATTGCAAAATCCCTTTGGTAGCATTAATCCGATGTAACTTAAGATACCTTCAGTGTAAACTTCAGCTCCTGAGCTAATATCTAAACTTGTTTTGCAGTTGATCTCATGCTAAGGTGGTTTCTGAAATAGGCCAGATGAATCATACCCAGGAAATGACTGTTTCTCCACATCAGAAAAATCTGGATGACTGGCATGGATGTAAACAGTTACACTGTAGATGTCTGAAGTTAAATGAGTGAGATTCATCTCTTGCAAATGAGCTGTGTGCAGGTTAGCCAGAGATTTGCATTCACAATCCCCACGCACAAGCAATCGGCTGTCTCCGGCTGATCCGGCTCCTTAAATAGAAGATTTACATTTCTTTTAGCAGGGAAAGTTTTCAGAGGACCATGACAAGGATGGAGATGAGCCCAGATGAAAACTCTGATATATACCAGTGGGTCAAACTAAACTTCAGAAATGGCTTGGAATATGAATTCAAACTTGATTTGAATCAAGTTTTTCCTGTAAAATGTCTATCTTAGCGGTGAACTGCTATTCACAGCGTATATTTGAGCTGCATGTACTTTGAAAAATGCAGACTTTGTCTCTGCTTTATGATCCTAGGTGTAATCCACAAGGCCTTGAAGGCAGCATAGCGGCTTTTGTGTCCCTATCTGGGGTTTTGATGGAAATGCATCTTGCAATCAGATTGTTTTGGTGTGGGTTTCTGGCAATGTGCATCAATTTAGTGCCTCTCAAAAACCTTAACGCAGTCTTATTTAGTTGAAAATACACAGAACCTTTATTTTCAGTTAAAGAGTTGGCTTTCATGTTTTTAACGTTACTGACGAAGTCTTTTCCTGATGTCTGGGTAACACTGGCACCTAGTGGTTTCTGCCTGTAATTGTCAAGTTGGACATTTTCTAAGGGGAAAGGATGTGCTACCTGGAAAAGACAGCAGGATCACAAGTGTATGAGCAAGAATATTTCAATGTCTGCCTTTTTTTTTTTTTCCCCAGCCATCATTACCGCAGCCTTTCTAGTCATTTGTCACAGCCAGGATAGATTGAAATTCTGCCATTTTCTGTCCTTATCACAACAGGACATAATTGGCCAAATGACTGGCTGGTGCAAATTGAAGTAGCTCCATTAAAATCAATCGAGTTACCTTGACTTACATTAGGTGAACAGCTAGCATAATGATTTTAAATCCTTATGAAAGACTTTATAATTTTAACGGACTAGATGGTCAGTCTTTTCTGAGCTGGGAATTTAAAATTAACCATCCAAGTCTATATGCTATAGAAATAATCAGGCTTGAAAGCCAAGTACTACTAACCAATCCACTGCCACATGCGATCATCTTGCTACAGACAAAATTGCCAGTAACAGCCAGTATGAGTTGCAGCTTCATGACTGGACTGACAGAAAGAAGAAGAAATTAAGGCTAAGAAGAAAGAGACAAAATTAAACGTGGAAGATCTTGTGACCCAGTGGTGAAACCCTAAGCTGTTGCCTTCGCTACAAACGGACGTGCTGCTTCATTATCCAAATTGTTGTCACACTGTCTTTTCAGTTTCTATACTATTCATGTCCACTGTCATGCATGACCAAAAAAATCAACCCCCCCCGCCCCCGGAAAAAAAACCCACCCCACAAACTCATCCCAGCTAGTTGTATAAATTGTTAACATGTTTTCAAAAAATACGTTAAGGGGAGAAAAGCTGGAGTTTAAAGAACCAGTTTGGAGTGGAAAAAGTCTAAATATGAGGGTTTAAGGTAGAGATAAATAATTAAGACAGAGAAAGCAAGAAATCTAAGCTCTCAATGAAGTAGTAATTCTAACTGACGCCTTGTGTGTATCTTTCATACCCCCAAAATTTCATTAAAACTCTTCAGATTGGCTCCTGTGATGCACGAGCATATTTGATGTACTGATGGCAAGAGGCATAATCTGTGCAGTCCTTGCAGGCTGTCATTAACCGAGTTACTCTTCAAGGCAGGAGGACCAGATCACGGTCTTTGGCCAGTGCCCAGTCACAACTTTCACGATGCAAGGGGAAGAGAGTTCTTGTTTGGGGATGGACAGAAAGCAATAAGATTTGAAGCAATTCTGCATATTGGTGTGCTCAGGCTGGCATATTTTACTGCACAGCTACCCAGAAGGTGGATAAAGTGGTTGCATCATTACTTCTCTCCCCCCAGCACTATGGGGCAATGCTATGGTATATTTTTGGAAAGACAGGTTGACCCCAAGAAAAGAAAATTTTCCCACTGTAACTGCAGAGCAACCCATTCTCTCTTTCTGTCCTTCTATGGGTCTGATCATATAGTTAGAGGTTAAACAATATGCGGCCAATGCAAAGCACAGATGGCACCCAAAATAAGAAGAGACAGGCTGAAAGTGCTGAGCCATCGTCAGAGAAAGAAATCAGTGATAGATTCCCACAAAATAGCAGAATTAATAAGTGAGGCTAAACTGCAACTGAAACGTCTGTGGAAAGATGGGAAATGCTGCAAATGGTAAACCTAGGATTTAATTTCAAAAAGAAAGGTTTTGTACAACATGTATCATGCAGCAAAAGAGTATGCTTTTGATGTATTGTGTTTATGGGGAGTCCATGCTACAATCTCCTGATCAGTTCTGGTCTTCCCAGTGTTGAACAGTTGAGCCATATAGATAGGTATTGACAGTCTCAAGCTTTGGCATTTGTCTGATATGCCCAGAATCTGCCTGAAAACAGAACTAAATGTTTCCCTAGCTCTCAGGCAAAATCTTTTGGATTTTTAAAGATGTTAAAATAGCATTTCTTTGTACTTCTTTTTTTAGTAGATACCACTAAAATCTCTGAAGGAAATGAGTGGTCCACATGATATTTTAGTTGCCTTTTTTTTTTTTTAAACATATTTCACTGTTACATAATAAATGTCTGACAGTGCTCAGTCCTATTTTCATTTAAAATCTGGAATGCTGGTAAGGGTACAAACATAGCAGAATGTTTGAATCTTACAGAAAAAAACCTGTAAGGTTATTGAAACATCTTTCAATTAGTCAGTTTTTAATGGAATGATTTCATCGAGGTGTTTTTTTGATAAATAAACAATAGAAATATTTATTCCTTCTATAAAAATAATTATATTCAGAAAGCTAAGTTTGAATAAGGCTTTTATTTTACAAAAGTTATGAGTTTTACCACAGTAAATAGCATTTTTGCTAATATTAAGGCAATGCTTTATTAACTGTGAACTATTCAACAATTAGAGGAGTATTTCTAATTGATATTCTAAGTACCAGTGATGGAATACATGTATTTGGCCCCCCTACTGGTTCTTATCTGCCTTTTCCTATTTTGCAGTTACAAGCTGCTCTATATAGTTGCATAGTAAAGCACTATCAGCATATACACAGCTGTGTGCAGCAAAGGCATTCTACAAATCCCCAAATCAAATAACACATACTGACAAATCACTTTATCTTGCAACTCTGGAATTACCGTGAACAGACCTATTTAGTATGACTAGGAAAGCACATAAACAGCTCTGTGTTAGAAATAAATATATTTTGAATTATTAGTGTTTCCCATATTCCAGGTAGAAGTTAAGAAATGCTACTATATGATGTATCTGTATCTAAAGTTATGTATTAGATGGATAGATGGATAGATGGAGAGAGAGAGAATTAAAGAACTGAAAGAAAAAAAAAGGGGGCTGAAAGATATAATGAATTCTGATGAGAAGCACGGCAAGGGTGGGAAAAGGACTATCCTGTCAGTTTGCTCTGCTTCACAAAGAGGCAAGACCGGAAACTCAAGAAATTTCTGCTTTTTATCCACACGTACGAGATGATACAACAGTATTGTTTGTGATACAGGCTTTCACGATCCACACCTACAATGACGGAAAAGCCTTATTTTGGGATGAGACTGTAAGCCCCAGGACTTACGAATAGTTACGGACAGTAGCTCTGGGTTGAGAGGAAGCGCATATTAACTTAGGCTTGTTTTCATACTAGCATTGTGCTGCTGTAGAACAACTCTGTGTCACATGTGCCCGTCTCAAAACCTGGCAACGCTTTCCCCTTAAAGATGGGTTGAGCATCTAGAGATTTTGTGAAATACTGCCATCAGACTATTTGCTGTGCGTTGACACATTTCAGTAACTGCAATTCTGCACTGGATTTTAAATAGCGTAAGGAAATCATTGGTATTATAGAGCAGGTTAATTTATTAAAGCAATTTCCAGATCAACCAGGAACATTCATTACTTAGAGATGAGAATCCACAGTAAAAAAAATGAGATCTGTAGGGCAAATCTACAGCAGGGGCTATATATTTGGCCAAATCTGCAGTGAGTATTTCAAGATTTGATGGGAAGAGGGCAAAATATATCTGTGTTCTGTATCTGGAGAAGGGGAGAAGTTGACGAACAATGTCAGGGCTTCAGCTGTTTGCTGCTCTCAAGCATCTTACCCATTTCTGCAGGTACCTTTCACTGTTCCAGGAAAACCCAAACCCAACAGCTGTATCTGCAAACTGCCGAGACTGAAGATCTCCCTTTCCTCACTCTTCCCGTCATTCTTCTCTGTGGCTGCCATGATATTTATGATTGTGTCTGCACCCAGGTCACCACTTTCTGCCTGTACTGAAAGGCTTAATATCGCCTGCCGTCCCTCCTCGAAACGTAAACCCACAATTCCCGCTCACGCAAACCCGTGCGTTGGGATTACAGGCAGACGGTGCCTGCGCGCGCACCTGCAGAGCGTACTCCCTGCCTCTGGAGGACGAAGGCGTGGGGTGAGCAGTCTGTACGCTCCTGCTAGTAGAGCAAGTAGTAGCCGTAATGCGATTCTGGCTGAGGGACGTCAGGAGCCTGCCTTATGCTCACTGCTGTGGTGTACAGATGCTATCAGACCGCTCTTACGTTATAGCAATGTCCAGCACTACATACATGGGCCGTCCCATGAGCGAGGCAACTCAGCTTAGTCAGCAGGCAAACTTCTACTGGCTGACTCCACTTAAAGGCTTTTTAAAAGCGGCCCCTGAGGTTACAAGGAAGCATACACTCCAAATACCTCCCTGCAGCTACTGGGGCTGTTCGCTGTCCCCCCAGTTTCTGTTATTTTATCATCACTACAGTTACTGTTTCTCATCGTGCCGTGCTACATCCTCCGTGACGTGCTGGGATTTCATGGCTGCAGCTTTGTCACCCGATCAGTTAGCCGTGGTACATGGGTTACAAAAAATAAGAGGCAGATGTTCCCTGAGCTTCCACTGACCCACGTGGAGAAGCCCACCCAGTATAGTGCAGCAGTGTAGGATCATACCAGGTGAAGCCTGGAAACGTTTTTTTCCTGGGTTTTAATGACACTCTGCACAAATTACTAAAGCGATGTCTGAGCCAGACTCAGTGCCTGAACCCTGCTCAATTTCTGGATTAGCTCATGCTGAGCCAATTAAGAGGCTTCTGCACACAATGGGCTTATCCTATAAACTCATCCTTAGTTTAATAGATTTAGTGCCAGCTGTTCCGTAGAGCTTGGCTCCTTCTGTCTTCCTTTTCTGTTGGGTGTGGTCATTAAAGATTTCTTATCACTTTCAATAAAATCAGGAGCCTGCCTGGGACTGACACATTTTCCCTCCATACCTGGGAGCCCCGCTCCCTGCCCCACCTGAGGCCTGAGTGTACGTGAGGAACACTCCGGCACGAAGGAGACGGTCCCTTGTCACCCTGCTTCTGGTAGGGTGCTGCTTCTTGACACTCACTGTCGTTTGCTGAAGCATTCGGGTAGGATGACAGATACTATACAAATATGAAACCCAATAAACACTGTATTAAACAGCACCAGACAAGGGAAGAAATTGGTCATTCTGTTCCTAATATAGTAATATTTCTTGCTCTTACAGAGAACTGTATGCAGCACTATCCTAAAGCCAGACATTTCCCCCTCTTTTTACTGATACTATTTTCCCTTTTTTTTGAAAGAGGAAGCTATTACAGTACTAACCACATAGTGGTGCTAAATGGCATTTGGATCTTTTCTTTAGCTGAATATAAGAAAAGCTATTCCATTTTTAATATATGTAAATAGCACAAGAGTAGTAGCAACCAAGCTTATATTGGACCATAGCACAAAAATAAATTAGCAACCAAAACAGATGATTTAAGATGTGCACCTTGTCCATCTGTAGCTGTTTGTGCCCATTTAGTGTCTGAGAAGCAGAGAATGGCTTTTTGCCTTCACCAATGCACTTAGCATGCTGAAAAGTACAGTTTGGCTTGTGCAATTTTTTATCATCAATTGTATTTTGCACCAAAAATAAATGTAGTCCAGTAAGGCTTCATTTTTCTCAATTTTTATACGAAATGTCTCCATGGTTTTTTGCATAACAACAGAACAAAAAAGCATCTATGCAGTGACTGACAGTTTCTGACTGCAAGAAATTGTTCAGGAAAAATAAAAGCAAACTTTATAAATGGTTTTGAAATGGCTCAGCACTGAATTACTGCAGCACTTACAGCATCACAATATGCTATGATACAGAAAAAAGGGCAAACCTCTTTTTAAAGTACATGGCACTTTTTATTAGTGGCTTTGACTGCTTATTATTTGTAACTCATAACTGAAAGTGTTGGTCCTATTCGTTCACCAGCTTTGATTTAAAGAAAGGCTTAAATGCATACCTAACTTAAATATTTGTGTACTCCCACAAGGTCAAATCAGTGTTTTGAACGCCATGCAATGTGAAATTGCTTCTCTGCAGGCAAATGAATAGTGCTGTTGCAGGCTTGCACAGTACGGGTAGCATGCATTTTAATAGGTGTCCACAGAATTGTGAATTTCCAGCACTTCTGAAAATCTGAAAACTGCAACCCATGAAAACACATTTATATTATTACAAGCATTTATATTATTACAAGCATAGAGGATATGACAAGACAACTGAGTTAGCAATATCTTTAAGAATCTGGATTGCTCTTGTTTAACCTGGGATCCAGCAAAGAACTTAAGTGGATGGATTTTGGATGATTCCAGAATGTCTTAAAACACTTGGATCATTTAAAGCTTAGTGAATGGGACCTTTTCCCTGAGAAAAATTTTGTGAAGGGCAATGTGCAGGGTCTGCATAAAGGCATTCTTTGCTGGAGGACCTGTGTGTTGGGTTTATCTTCTTTCCACACTGCTGCATAGAACAAAGCTGGTATTTCCTGACCTTCACAGCATGTCACTGTCCCCAGGCTCACTGTGATGAAGACGATTAAGAAGGGATTAGATTTTTTTTTTTCCCTTCCTGTTCAGTGACAGAGATCTATCATTTACATTAGGCAACATCAACCGATGCTCTGCCGTTGTAAAGTGCCCTAAACTTTCAGATATGCCATATCTTGTTACTGAAAAGACTAATAAATGCAGCGAAATACAATGACCAACTCTAAAGTATCTGAATATAGAATTAGTTGTGTCTTTTAAAAAAAAAAAATAATTAGTGGTTCAATTAGATATTATATAATGCCCCATATAGCGGTGTCAAAAGTGGCCAGGCATTTTGTCTGTGCTGATCCTAAGATAAGTGCATCAGGCAACTTCACATGTGAATGCTCTTCATCAGCAACAAATATTATATGCATGCTGTTTACATCTGCATTGCCAATTTGACTGTTTTGTCTATACAGTCTAATATATACCTACTTAACCATAAGTATGGAAAAATTCTATTGCTGTGTATAAAAACAAGCAGCACAGCTGAGGCTTAGGACTAATCCAGGGAGAACTGAATCCTATCAAAAACCTACTCTTGATGCTCAAACATTCATTTTTCAAGGGCTCCCACTCATTGCCGGTTCCGACTTGCAGCGCATACGGAGGGGCGTGCAGCTGCTCAGCCTGCCAGTTCCAGTTGGAGCTATTTCTGAGTCATCTGCGTAGAGGGGAAAAGGTGAGCAGGACGATTTTAAAAATGAAACAAAGATTACAAATTCATAGAATGAGGAAGCGGTACATTCAAACTTCCAGTCAGAAAAGAAGGGGGCTGCGAAGAGTGCAAAGAGTTTGCATCTTGTTGACCAATTACTTCCTGTGGGTATCGTAGCTTCCATTTTATGCCACTAAACCTAGCAAAGAGTAAGTGACTTGACATCATCTGGCCCTTTAATGCATCCATGGATAATTTACTATTTCATGGGTCAAGAGGCTGAAGCCAGGAATTTCGTTGTTTGAATGAGTATAATGCAAATACAGATCCATGGTCAGAGCCGGGGGAAATTCAAGTACCTGAATTCTCAATTTTATCAGAACTAAAGCTTCTCTTTTCCTAAAGCTTGTCTTAATATACATGTGCAGAACTCTTTCCTTCCCAGACCCTTGCAAAGTGTTCAGCTCATAGATGTGTTTATCTTACAAAAATTACACCTACAAGCATGAGCTGTCTATAAAACATAACTTGGCCTTTCAAAATCAGCTGGTGGTTCAGATTTCTTTCTACTAACAAGTTGATCATTGGTGTACATGTACATGTCTGGGCTCAGAAGACAACCATTAGTTAAAATGTGACAGTCCCTATTTTGGATCTCTCCTACTGAGTGATTTAATCACTAAATTCCAAATAATACTTACCCTTTCCATTGTCGAAATTCATAAATTCAGTAATCTTGAACTTGTTCTAGTACACTAAAGCAACATTCACAACTAAGATGCAGTTTTCTCCCTTGCATGAATATCTGATAACCAGCTATGTGGGACACTGTTAGGAGACTGGAAGTGGGACATGTTGATTTGCAACCATTTGGGACTCCTCTACCCTGAGTAAAAACTGAGTTCACCATAGTACTGTACAACAGCTTCATTATTAAAATAACAAGCATAAAATCAAAATTTTCAAAATAAAATGCTTATAAGTGAAAATGAAATATATTATCTCAAACATAAAATATAGCTCTTTCATTCCATGCTCTGAACTGGAGAATTTTTCACACGGTTTTAGGTGGAAAACATCCCATAAAAGAGAAATTATACTTTTTAGACAGAGATAATAATTACTTCCCTGCCATTAAAACTGACATTATTTATGAAAAGTCATACCTGATTATATATGAACTGAAACACTAAACTCCAATTTCTTTTAAGACTAAGATCACAACCACAGATTCTAATAAAGACATAAGCTACTGTGTGTTACTTATGGGGTATAATTGCACAACATTAAATTCTCGTACCTAGTTTCTCACTTGAGCCATAGGTACATACACCCCATAGGTGCCACATACCTTTTTCAGTTTGATGACTCCTTCCTGGGTGTTCTCATCTGTTGTGATGTCAAACAAGTTTCCTCCATCTCCTGGAACTATATTGTACTCGATTTCTGCATTTTTCCCAAAATCAGGGTCCACAGCTCTGATCCTTCCAATAGCAGAACCAACATGAGAGGACTCGGGTACTTTTAAATGGAAGATACCTGTGACAAAGTGGTAGACAGTCATTTTGGGGATTTCTTGCTAATTAACATAGTATGTCCGATTAAAACCATGGTGCCTGTGCAAAACAAACAGCCTTAAATCATTCAGTTAGAATGAGATCAAAACAACAAAGGATTGGAAAAAGACATGCATGTTTTACCCACCGATTTCCCCTACTTTGTAGATTTGGTCCAGTGCAACTGTAAGGACCTTAGCACCTCTATCTCTTGAGATATCTATCTATACTTCTATCTTTAATTTTAATTTTACCCATATTGTTGACTCTTTTGAACTAAATTCTACTTTTAGACAGTACATGTTTGTAAGCATTTTCTGCCTTCAATGTTTAACAGTTTTTAGTATCTGAATTTTTATCTTGTTTGAGAATATATTTCTATGCATTTCACAGTAGTTGAAAGGAAAAATTCAGCAGAAAAAGGATTTCCACCCATTTCTGTAATATTCAGTATTATAATTACATGTACAACTCCTTGTGGGGTGGAAGATATAGAGTATTGTTTATACATTAGCCACCAGAGGGTGCTCTTACTAAAATTTCAGTGCTAAATATAAATTTTTAGCTCTGCAGACTGGTATTTTCAGTTTATTTACTATTAGTGGTAATAAAAGTTACAAAAGAAAAACCCACAAGAAAATTACACACTTTTAAAACAAGCATTGCCACCAATGTGTGAGGACAAAATGGTTTCATTCAGGGAAACAGCTACGTTGAAAAAATGCTTGACATGATAGCTAAACTAGCTAAAAGAAAAGGTCCAAAGTACTTTGAGCCAGCCTTGACTTTAACGCCATCAGTAGCAGCAGCCCTTAGTTACAAGACCGTGCCCTGGGTTAACCAGACTGCGGCTGAAGCTCCAGCGATGGCCTTCTCCCTTCCTCTCCATGGGAACACCGAGGAGGAAACTTACACCTCGTTTTCAACAGTGCAGCAGGACAGGCACTGTGACTAGTGGGAGGCATGTTAGGGGGAAGTCTCAGAGATTTCCGCCTGGTAGTGGTTCAGTCACACTTCACAAAATAAGGCTCTGAGAAGTTGTATATCATGTAACAGCAGGATAGATGACACTCGCATCCAGGCGCTGAATTCAACAGCGGACGCTGTTCCCTGTCGTTATCTCCTTACAATGCATGCTGTGTCAGCTTTTTCAGCTTTACGGTATTTCCAGGTGAGGAAAAAAATGACATTAACACCGCTGGATTAGGAATAAACCTACTCTTCTGTGAGCTAGTAGTTTGGGCTATAGTACCTATATAATTGTCTGACTGCCTCTGAAAAAATGTGTTTTGTCTGCTTCCTCCCTCTGCCCATCAGTATGCAAAGTATACCTGAAGGGAAAACTTGCTTTGGTTGGTTGAGAAAAATCCCTGTAAGTAAAGTCTGCTTGTGTCAGCATCCACATTTAGACATTACCATATGTAGCTTTGTAGTACTCATTGACTGAGCTACTAAAAGTTGTGCAATTAGCATTTTGCTATTTTTTGCAAGGGAACATACTGAAGGGATCTTTCCTTCTTCTTTTTCCAAGGGAATGTACTAAAGAAAGGCTTACTTTTTTTCTTCTTCTTAACAGCTGGAAAGGAGCACCATGATGCAAAATATTATCAAGACAAGACTAGCCTCAGCTATTTCTTAGTTGTACTTCAAGAACTCTGAGTAAAGAGTAAAACTTTAACATGGTATGCAGGAGACAATCACAAATCCTCCTATTATCTAATGTCACTTACAAATACATGTATTACTGGGTCTCCGCTATGCAAGTTACGCAGAAGAGGTGGAAGAAAAGGGATCCAAAAGGGCTTTGCCTACACTTGAATCTTGTATTACGTTTCCACAACACAGTTCTAGCCCTGATCCCCAGGTCTTTTACAGACACTTACACTGGAAGACAGAAATCATCACTGCAGAGTTAGCTCTTTACAGCCACAATTTTGGTGAACATAAAATGTAAGAGCATATGATAATGGATTTTTCCTTCTTTGCCTAGTTGATCTATTCTTAGTGAACTGAAGAGCACTCAGGTTCATTAAAACAAACATTTCTCTATAAAATATCGTACCTGGCTGTAAAGCGTATGGGACTTAGATGAAGTCAGAGGAACACTACATTACTCATTTCAGATTGTTTAGGCTTTTATCAGTTATTCCCAATGACTTGGCATTTCATCACTTCCAGAAATTCAACAGCAATAAAGATGGGGTCATTCAGATTAATTTGAAACTCTGAAGTAATCTTCAACTCTGCCAGAGTCAGATGTCTGAAGATGTAGTATGTAATTACACTGCCATCGTCCTCCTGTAATATTATCTTCACAGCATATGGAAGCTGTTAATGGTGCTACTGTGACAACATACTTTCAGAATAAAATAAATGAAAACAAATAATGTATATTGTTGCCAGCTCAGGGAAAAACTTCAAGAGAATATAATGTATAGCATGAAGACCACCTTTTTTCTCCCCCCCGCCGAAAACAGCCTTTGTACAGAGGACATTTGAAATGATCAATACGCACTGCACATGAAATGGAACAGAAAGAGTTTTGTAGAATTTATTTTTCTGTTTCTAGAAGACATTACTTCTTGCTGTGGACTTGCTGTGACAGTTTAGCATTATTCAGTTTTTATTGTCCATTTCGCCTGTATACACTACTACCTCCATTTGCTATAGAGGTATATTGAAACAGGCCTGAGTAACAGCCTTTTACTCCCAGAGGTCCTGAAAACCTTGTTCTCTGCAGCTTCTAGGAGTGATGGAACAAGCAGCTCCGGCACACTTGCGCAGCAGCTGGTTACACTGCTCAACCAGCTCTGTCAAATTTTGTAGATTGTCTCCTGTGACTTCTCTGCCTACAAAAATCTTTTCTTCTACTTGCATAAATCTCTTTAAAACGTGTTTTCTGAGTTTGCTGCTGGCTTTTGTAAAGGATGAGTGATATGGGATGCACCAAAGGAGCAGCCTTTACTTCCTTCAGACTGTGCTATGAAACCAGACTCTGCAACTAGTTACCCTTTTGCTGTGTATTGCAGGCAAGTAGGAATATTTTCACATTTAGGAAAGTTAGTAGGAATGCATATTGCCTGGTCAAGATTTTTCACTCTGTTGTAAATGGCATTTTAAGAAAAAAACCTAAATGTTATTTTTAAGGCCAAAAGTCATGGGCCTGTTGACATGCTTAACTTATGAAACACTTCACACTTAAGTGACACTTAAAATTCAAGCCAGAATCCAAAACTAGAGAAAGCCCAGTGATTATGTAGCTTAGCATAAGCATTCAGGCATTCCCTTATAAAGCCTGGGTAGTGTCAAGGTGCAAAACTTCCTCCGAGTTTCAGGTTGAGCAGCATCAATGAGGATGATAAAATGAATGAGTGATGATGCTGTTGAAGCGTTTAGGCTGAAATGACTGAGAAGGTGTATTACTCAGCCCCAAAAGCATTCAGGAAACCAAGGTGGAGGTGAGCTAACACCTCATACACGCTGCCTCCCAGTTTCTAAAACAAAGATGGTTCCAAAGCACAGAGCGGAGAAATCAGAGCTGAGTAAGTGACAGGTAATCAGTCATATTGACTGAAATTCAGCACCCATTTACAGTTCTTTTGACATGATTAGATTAGGTTTAGTTTTTAAGGCTCAAAAGCTGTTCTGGGGTTTGATTTTTACTTACAAAGGGTTTTTTTTGTTTTGTTTTGTTTCTCCACACCTGCAGTTTACAGGTACACCACCATTTACCAAAAAGGTTTTCAATTCTGATGAGAATAAGAAACGAAAACCATCATTACATCTCATCAGCAAAGCAACCATTGAGCAATAACCCAGGTTAGCATCTAAGGACTTAAGCTAAATGCATAATGACCTTCAACCAAAGAGCTGTAAATGGTATCTGAGCTTTTTTCTGATCTGTCACCATACATGTACTGTGTGTATGCAAGATTATCCTCTCCTGCTTTTTCTTTGTCTATATTTTTTTCAGTTCTCTTTGGCAGCTGCCAAAGTATTGCATTGCAGTTAATCATGATAGCATGAATCTTATAGGCAACAACACTGAAATAAAATACTTTCTTTCTCTTTGACCTAATTCTTTAATGTTTTCTCAGGAAAAAAAGAATCAGATTACATATATTATAATATTCTTGTTAGCTTAAATTACCAAGGTGTTTCAGTTTTTATCCTGGCCAGGTTGTAAGGGCACTGATTTCTGCCTGTTTAGGAAGAATCCAAAAAGACAACCATCCATATTTACGTGCTGGTGTTTTAACAATAGTGTAATAGGCAAAAGAAAGGACACTGTAAATAGAAGCAGCTACTCAGGATACTAAACCTGCTACACCAGCTACAGCTAATCAGCCTAGTAATTAGCGGCATCTGATACACATGCTCCTAAAACTGGGAAGAAGTGATGTAGCCCAGCAGCGAGATAGACTCGTGCCTCTCCTGGCTGCGGGTCTGTGCCCTGCGGGAGGCTGGACCTTGCAGAGGGAAGAGAACGGCCGGGCTTCGTCACCGTGTGCCCTGATGCAGGTCGTGCACGACCTGGCGTCGGCTGGTAAAACTTCAGTTATGGTGAGGCTTCTTCCACCCTCAAACCCACTGTTCTGAGTTAGGGCTTATGGCCTCATTAGATACAGCATAGCTATTCTTAAAAATTCCTGGTTCTCTGCTGTGGATCCCAAAGTTCACACCTAGCACACCTAGCAAGAGCTACATCTCCCCAGACTGCAGAGATCCTGGATGTCCAAGGGTCCCCAGTTCCCCAAGGAAAAATGAGCAGAAGCAAAACCCCTTTGGGGTTTGATCCTGCCCAAGTTTAGGGTAATCCACATGGTGGAGCTTCCCCAGAGCTGGCCGCTGCTGAGCCAGGACTCTAACAGCCCCTCAGGTGAGCTAGCAGACTGAGTTTCTGAGGCTGTCCCTTTCTTCCTTCCCTAAAGGGGAAAAAAAAGTTCGTCATATCTGGCATAATTTTTGGATACTGAAAAATTT